GTGGTGTGTGACTTTCGCAACTGCTGGTTGATTTATAATAATATCATTGATAGTCACTGCATTGCTGTTAATACATATAAGTGATATGTAAATAACATTGAATATCTAAGCTGCTGAATATATCACCAGATATTTGTTTCGATGGAAGATAGGAGAAAGGCCAGCAGAAGTAGAGTGGCTAAGGAACAAATAACGATATAGATCAATCGTGTGGATCAGAGAGAGAGAGAGAGAGAGAGAGAGAGAGAGAGAGAGAGAGAGAGAGAGAGAGAGAGAGAGAGAGAGAGAGAGAGAGAGAGAGAGAGAGAATACTTTGTTCGTGTAATCTCATTTTGAACAATAAATGTGACTCAATGAACGTAGTTGTAATTTCGTATGAGAACGGCACCAGCTTTTACGAATTAAAATCCATTTACCGGTGAAGCATTAAATTAAATAATCCTGCAAATAAAGGCAAAATTCCACTGCATTGGTTCAATCAATGAGTACGAAACGCCAGCTGATGCATTATCTGTGAAGAATTCCCGTAGTGTTATGAATCATACTATGATCGTTTGTAACCCAGCAATTTAAACAACAAAGGGATAGTTTGCGAAGACGTTCGGAAGTCAGCATTTCAAACGAGCTAGTGACTATTTTACATCTTGTCTCATTCGGAAAAAGCCTCCTAACGTTCTGGTCATCTTAACGGAAAATTTGTAGGATTATAACAATCTGGGTTATATATCATCAAGACAAATACAAAACAAATTACAATGACCCATTTTAAAAGAAGTGGATTATATTTGCTGTGTTCGTTTCTCTTCAGAATAAATAAATTAGAGGCTGGGAAGCAAAACATATTTGTGGCGCACTCACGTATTTAGTAAATTGTTCGTGCTATAAGGTTAATTAGATTTTTCGTATCTTAAAACACGATATATATGTTATGAAAGAGATAGCGGAGAAATGCTATATTATCATATTATATTAACAGACTAAAAACGACGAGCAATTGCTGAGAAATCTCTGCACCACATGCTTCCTGATTAGAGTAAAGCAGCCGTTATATAAAATAGCCTTCAATTATTTTAGTCATTTACGCTATGTTGAATAGCTTTCCAGCGTTTCAGTCAATCACGTTATATAAAATAGCCTTCAATTATTTTAGTCATTTACGCTATGTTAAATAGCCTTCCAGCGTTTCAGTCAATCATGTTATATAAAATAGCCTTCAATTATTTTAGTCATTTACGCTATGTTAAATAGCTTTCCAGTATTTCAGTCAATCACGTTATATAAAATAGCCTTCCCCATTTTCAGTGATTCACGTTATATCAAGTGGTGTTACGATTTTAGAAGCAAAAACTAGCATGTGTTGTTAAACTTAACAATTTCATCATCAACATTATAAAATCTCACAGGAACTATGAACAACAGTATTATGAATTAAATATTAGAAAATCATGAAATGTTCTACACAAGTCCAAAAACAATAATAGAATGTTACCAATTAATTCTAGATTCTTGAATTTACCGGTCTTCCAACATCTCTGATGTATCACATGCCCATTGTCAACTCCTCTAAATAAGTTCACAATTTTCCCAAAATAATATTTTATTCCAATGAACACATGTAATTCAATAAAATAATCCAGACAAATGTCCTTCTTAAATTATAACACCTGGAGACTGATGTAATATAAAACTGAAATAATTGTCGAGTTATATCTACTTACATACATACACCAATAGAGCCCTAAAACGCATTTTTTTCTTACTAGCTACGTGGCATTTCACAATAACCCATGTCGTAAATGAACCCACCTGAGTGACCCTTCTAGTGGGAAATAACTTAATTCTTCTAAGAACCCACGTTACCTCATTAGCCGATAGAACTTACTCTAAACATGGCAACGGGTCCAATATGTAGGCTGAACTTAACTTGTAAATACTAATTTATGGCTCGCAATCTGTAACAAAGAATCTATAAACATGGAAAATAAATTGCCTATACAATATTTTGTTAATAGATGATCACTACAATTTACTGTCATGAACAAACATGACACACAATAATAGATACATTCATTTACCAAAAGTTACACAAAAGATGACAAAATAGCACAACAATAACATTGCCATGTTTTTGTCAATTTGGTTGTATTTTAAATTACCATTTACGAGCTCTTGCAGTGTAGACTCAACTGATTAGAACAAACAGTAGGAAACTAGATATTTATCGAAAATGTAGCGCAAAAGATCAGACTATGCAAAGATGAAGAGATAGCAAACCTTACTCATTTCTGTAATTAAATTTCTGCGAATCAACCATAATAGTGTTCTTATCTAACTCAATGATAAATGAACACACAGAAGGCAAATGAGATTTCCTTCACCTGATCCGTCGTGATTGCATCGAGGATGTCGGATGCTGCTGTTAAAGAGCTTCAAGGATGAGATAAAAGATTCCGCAATAGACTACAAAGGACCAAAATAAGTTTCTTGAGAAAATCTATTATGAACAAGCGCGTTCACTAAAGTACCTCTATCCAGTTCTTAATTTTGGATGTTTTATGTGTATTCATGTTAATACGTGTACGTTACACTGGCGTTGGGACGACTTCTTATGTAAGGCAGCGTTTGTGGTGGATATAATGATTTCGTCAAATGTGTAGGGCTACCAGGTGTCTGTATACAGATATAGGGTTTAACAGAGTATCAATACAGTGCTGGTCTACATACATGATGCCGAAAAGGAGTCAGCAAAAGGAACCATTGAGTGCCTATTACATGAAAATAAAGTTATAATTTGCAAAACATTCTGAAACCATCAATGACAGTTATGGTGTGAAAATGGTTGATAGAAAACTATTGTGTGCATCGGTTTTGAAGAAATGGAAGCAGGCTTAAGGAAAATTGTTACTCGTTAAACCTTTTTCCTCTTTTGAAAACTACCAAATTGTTCGCTCTCCAAATCTGTCAGGACTTGGAGATAAACGTGAGAAAGCCTTAACGTGGTCAAGAGATGTTCGTCTTGATGAACAAATATTTATTGTGGTGTTTCATTTATATCTTTTGCAATATTGGAGCATAATAAAACAACATCTGAAACAAACAATGTAATTACTTTATGTCAACATTGCATACAAGTGTCTTGCTAACAAGTACATGCAAGGCAGGGCTCCGATACAAAGACTTGTTCTTATAACAACTGCACTTTCCGCGTCGTCTATTAATAGTGTATTTTAATGAGACATGGACTGATAGGTCTAAGAGAAAAGATTCTAAATTAAAATAGTTAATGAAATAAATTTAAATAACATTTAAAATAAGAATACCTCGTATGTATGCCTTACGACCTAAACAAATGAGAAGTGAAAAGACCACGTGTCTATGTCTTGCAATACACATATGAGTAGGAGCTGCAAAGACCACGTATATGCTTAATGATATTCGATAAAAAATCAGTAGTTACAATGTGTGTGTGTGTGTGTGTGTGTGTGTGTGTGTGTGTGTGTGTGTTGTGCATTTACCAATATTCGACCTAAAATAGTAAGCAGATGACTCCAGTCACATGAAGATATGTACAAGGCTACTGTTCAAATAGGTAAAAGACGTTACGAGTATCTATTCAAGCTGAAACGTATTTTTCTTCAATATTTTGTCTATAGTATGTATAAAAACATGCTAATATAGTCTCCCATTGCCCCCCTAATCTATTCCGAATGTCACTAAACATAACGCTTTATCATTTGAGAAATGTCAGTATGTTTGTCTGCTTGTTGTTTATGACGTTATAGCCCATACAAGGCCGTTCCATATGAATATAGAGAAGTACGTGCAGTATGAGAGAGAGAGAGAGAGAGAGAGAGAGAGAGAGAGAGAGAGAGAGAGAGAGAGAGAGAGAGAGAGAGAGAGAGAGACTGTGTCTGTTGTATCAGAATGCTGTTGCTCATCACATGCCACTGCGTTCTGTCTGATACTCTAAATAAGAACATATTTTACAGACGTAGAAATTAGATGGCAGTGACTTGCTCGTCTCAATCACAGTATGAGTTTAGCATTTGCAAAACTGTCTTTATTGCTTGGAATCATGTCATAGGTATACGATGTTCGAGCTCTGCATTTTATCTGAATCCACATCACCAGCCAGCATGTATGGGTCTTTTTGAGATCTTAATTATACTATGACGATAACCAAAGCAATTAAAAATAGTGTATTAGTAGGCGATAAACGCTTCACGTCTTTACGAAGATAATGATCTCGTCGTTTTCACGTAGCTTTAAAAATCGCAAGTCTCTTCAAACACGTTTGTTTTACCTTCGTTTCTGAGAATTATCTGTACGGAAAAGTCTCAACCAACATTCAGGTTGGTTAAATCTGACAAATCCTACACTGCTTAGAACTAAATAGCTTGAATCATGATTTTCATAGATTTAAATATTTATAAGATATTTTCAGTTCTTCTAAATGTCTGTAGACAATAGATGTCACAATAGATCTCTCAGACGTGTCAATCAACTGTGCTTAGCATCAACGTTTCTAATTACCTCTGGCCAGTAACGGGATTATCTGATTAGGAATGAGATTCGGCACGACGTGAATTGCTTCATCCCGTTACATAATGTGGAACAACATGTGGCACGTGTCCCCTCAAAATGGAAATATATAGTAGATTTGAGTCAGAATGTCAAAAACTACAATTTTGACTTTGTAGAAGGTTTGCAGATGGCCTTTTATTCATATAAGTAATAAGTTGTGTGTGTACGTGTGTGTGTGTGTGAGTGTGTTAGAATTTTGACTAGCTTTAACAATTCTTCAGTCATATCGCTACGATGTCTGCATTGTGGCAGTTTATAGTGGTGTCAGGCACTGGGACATCATGCCCAAGACACATAGCATGATGTCATACTCAGTTACATTGTCCTGACGCCGAGCTAATCAGTCCTAACACTAACCTTTTAATGCTGAGCGCCTAGCGAGGTAGCTGTTATTACAATTTTAAAAGTCTTAGGCATGACTCTCACGGGGTTCGAACCAACTACCTACTGCATCCGAGGCGGACGCTATAACCACTAGGCTACCGTAGTGGTAGTAAGAAGTTAAATATGCTGTCTATAGTTCATTAGAAAAGAGTATGAAAATGAGCGTAGCAAGTTCATTTTGGTCCATAGATTTACAAAGACAGTGTCTACCAAGTTTACAATAGCTTCAATTGTTATGGTACCATTGTTGCCTAAAGAACAATATTAGTTAAAACGGTGCGTGCTGGACCTGAGAGATCGTTTGCAGCTTTGTGTTACCAAATATGTTAACGATACATTCTCCTACACAATACAGCTTTACATTTCAAATGTTATCTAATGCATTAAATTCATTAATAATCATTCATATTGGGTGCAAAATAATGTAATAACCCAATGCCTTAAGAAACGCATCTTCGCTATTTACCTTTACGATCTGTTAACCCTATCTACATTTTGGCGGATCGATCAGATGTTTCTTTGCTTCATGTTTGTGAATTTTATTGGATGCAGCGGTGGCTACCGCATCCAATTAAAATCAAGGTTTTTTTTTTTTAAATTTGAACACTGTTCCTACATAATCAAGACAAGGAGAATATGCCGCTGGAATGGATTGATAGATAAGCAATTTTACACTGCCGGGTTATGTTGTACAAATATATTCTTCACCTCAATACACCTGTATTGGATCCTCTTTGATACATAATCATACTTTCGATATTAAACTTATAAAAGTCCGTCTGAAGTCCATTGCCCCCACATTTTCGGCCTATGTGCAATACATATCTGTTACACGCTATTGATTATTTCGTATTATATAATATGGGAGACAAATCATGATTCAATAGATGTCGCAAGGACAAAGCATTGAAATGTTTGATCGATCCTCCAATGTGTTTTAAATGCAAATGGAATGAATCCTGTAGTTTCTGTGAAAGTATGGGAAAGAGTTATATTGCTGTCTGCTCTGTATGGCTCAGAATTCTGGTTTAATATGTCATATCAAGGCATTGAAGATTTGGAGAAAATACAACGATATAAGAGTCCAAGGTTTTCCTCAAAGATCGCCTGTTGGATTTCCGATATCATGCTTGGGTATGATTTCAATGGAAGCTGGCATAGATAAACAAAAACTCGTATTCCTTGGTTGCATGTGTAGGCCATCGGCAAACTTAATTGCTAAAAAGGTTTTCCTCTGGACTATTTGAAATTTGATCTTTGACCCCCAACATAGCTATAATTCTTTTATATATGATATAAGTACTGTACTAAAAAAGTATGATTTAGAAGACCATCGCAACGACTTCATTATGACTGGAAAATGTCCAGAAAAATATCATGGAAAAACTTAATTGGGACAAGAATACAGGTATTTAAGGAGAGAAAACATGAAACGTGTATCAGAAATCCATCAGAGGGATTAAGTAGATTTCTAAAAATTAATCAAGGACTAAAAATGCACCATCTATGGAAAATTGATTACACTGACTGAAGCAGAAAAAATCGAATATGGGACATTAATTCGTATTGGAGGAGTGAAAGAAAGACCTGGACTGTATCCCTTATGTGGCAAAATAAGTCGTGACCGTATTTTGCATATTTCGATTAATTGTCCCTTAACCTTAGACGACAGAAACCACTTGATGGAAAGTCTATTTTCATATATGCCTCTAGTGATTTACCGTGATTTATGTGATCAGATCGATGATGATATACATATTATGCTACTTGGTGGTTTAAATGAGATCTCAGAACTTTAAGAATATCAGGCATGGATTAATGTGATCAGACTCTCTACCAAGTACTTCATTAAGATAAAGGATACTATATACTCGATTCAATAGGAAACTTACACAGAATATAAGAAATGAAATATTTGTACTGGACTACATAATGATTAGGATACTATTTATAATATTTTCTTTTTTGCAATTCTACTTTCAAATGTTGAAGCATATATTTACTCTCTAGTTACATTTTTTTAAAAAAATGTTAAAAGCAGAATCATATTGTAATCTATCTATTTGGTAGCTATATTAATATATGTATTAGCTGGCTATTACAAGTAATTCAGAAGACTTTATAGGTAACTATTCAACATTTTTGTGATTCGGTGTTTGGTGTTTATAATTTTTAACGTAGCTTTTAAAAAGTTTTCAGTCATATCGCTACGATGTCTGCAGTGTGGCAGTTTATAGTGATGTCTAGCACTGGGGCATCATGCCGCAGACATGTAGCATGATGTCCTACTCAGTCACATTATCCTGACACCAGGCTGACCAGTCCTAACTCTAACCTCTTAATGCTGAGCGTCAAGCGAGGCAGCTGTTAGTACCAATTTTTTAAGTCTTTGGTATGACTCGACCGGGGATCGAACCCACGACTTCCCGCATCGGAGGCGGACGCTCTAACCACTAGGCCACCGGAGCGGATTTTTGTGATTCAATATATTACATTGCATTTCTAAACTTTGTATTAAAATCTTCAGAAAATGGAGGAATAAAAGAATATCAATCAATCAATCCCTCCTCTCTGTCTCTCTGTCTGTCTGTCTGTCTGTCTGTCTCTGTCTGTCTGTCTGTCTGTCTATCTGTCTCTCTCTCTTAAATGGATTGAGATAATACAAAACACACAAATGTTTAATAACCAGGAAGAAAATGTGCACATGTATGTATGTATGTATGTATGTATGTATGTATGTATGTATGTATGTATGTATGTATGTATGTATGTATGTATGTATGTATGTATGTATGTATGTATGTATGTATGTATGTATGTATGTATGTATGTATGTATGTATGTATGTATGTATGTATGTATGTATGTATGTAATCATACACAGTAACAGTAATAAGGACTGTTTGCTCTATTAAGCTTAGAGATGACAAAAGGAACATATCCCAAAGCTTTAGAGGAAACATTAGTTTAATAAAATATTTTGCTTTGTCGGGAATACATGAACAGTATGTCAAATTTTTCGTAGAGCATCAAAAGCTTAATAAAAATAGAAGTATCCTCAAAAGCTTCATAATCATTATATCCGTTATATCGTCAAAAGTCTGATTATAATAGTAATCCTATTGCAGAAACTTTTATCATAACCTCTTATTGCTGAGCGCCATGCTAGTACCATTGTTATAATTCTTTGTATGACTCTCTCTCTCTTACACACACACACACGCACGCACTCTCACACATACTATCTATCTATCTATCTATCTATCTATCTATCTATCTATCTATCTATCTATCTATCTATCTATCTATCTATCTATCTATCTATCTATCTACCTACCTACCTAACTGCCTGCCTGCCTGCCTGCCTGCCTACCTACCTACCTACCTACCTACCTACCTACCTACCTACATACATACATACATACATACATACATACATACATACATACATACATACATACATACATACATACATACATACATACATACATACATACATACATACGTACATACATATGTTAAAGATGTTACTCTAACACAAAATCAATAATGCATACCTATCAATGTGTAATAATTGTATTAATGTGAACCTTTGTGAAATATCATTTCTTCTAGACTTGTCTGTTTTGAAACATTGGATTTTCTGCATCATTAGAAATTTTATTTTTGGCCACATTAGCAGACCTTGTGGCAAGATGTAGCTGCTCCGTTTGAAGCGCAGAGAGAGAGAGAGAGAGAGAGAGAGAGAGAGAGAGAGAGAGAGAGAGAGAGAGAGAGAGAGAGAGAGAGAGAGAGAGAGAGCATAAATATAATCATCGTCAGTATCCTAATGAAATGGCACGTGATCTTCATTCAAAAGCACGAGATTTATGTATGAAGTAAACCACGTGTTAACGTTTATATAGCTCCCTAAAGTCAGAAACTAAACACCCTATAAAAACGTGTTGAAGCGCCATTGTTGATTAATGGTGCTCCAGACTGGTTCCTTGGTCTAGGTTTCTTCTAAATTCAAAGTTTGACCTTCCCAAATCCCTTAATTAGCCCGATTACATAGAGAATTGAATATTCTTAGGTTCATGAAGGTTTCCGATAAACCGGGTTATTATCCTTTACATATGACCAATCGCTTTATCTTGTGCCATTACTTTACTCATATTCAGAGATGTTTCTATTATACGGAACTTTTGCGCAAGCGTTACTGTACAAACCATATAACAATATTAATATTTACAAGGATATTTATACAAATGAATTCAGCATCAGTATCATCATAACCATCATCGTCAAATAAAATCTACAAGCATTTTTGTTAAAGAAAACATTATGTTAACAGTAAAATTGAGAATAGAGAATGCAGAACATAATCATTTATTTGTATAAATTTTTAGAAAAGTCTTTCTATAGTATATTGGACAAATAAAAATTTATATACCCCAAAAATAAAACAAGCATATTGCCCGCCAAGCAAATCTCATATTTTAATGAGAAAATGAATCTTAGGTTTCTCTCTGCGATCAGTTGTATTTTGCTTTGAAAACATTTATTCAAAAATCTATCAAAATCTAATGAGAACAAATTATACTGGACACAATAGCGCATTTCTCTCCCACCTAAAATGGAGAACACTATGAGTATATTTTAATGAATTAATTTATGATAGCACATAGTTTCTCACATGTTCCTTAGTGAATCCTAGAAAAGTATATCAACACAATTTTAATATATATAAACTCAATTAATTGTGTGCAATTTTAAGAGAAAAGGGTTAGTCTGTTGTTTATACGACATTGAACAAATTTGAACATCTTGATCTATAAATTTTTATCAAAACTTTTAATTTAAAACTCTTTTCATTTACGTTTTTAGAACTTCACTTTAAATGCGTATTATGCACACAGTATTGTGCAGATGTGCCGTTAAATCCAAATACATACCTGATCACTGTCATATATACATACAATCTGAAACTTAAATTTATCAGATTTTGTTATCGTGTATTTTATCGCATTAAGCATGCAACAAGATAAAAAAACATCTATATTTAGGACCTTCGATTTTAATATCTGCTTTGAAGATTTTTGGAAAGATTTATTACTTTCT